ATCGGCTCCTTGGCAACAGGAGGTGGGTCAGGGTGGATGGGCCACAAACACGCCGGCTCCGGCAGCAGCTCCAGGAGAGAGGAGCATCACCACTACCGGGGCTCATCTCATTGCGCCATGCAGCGCTTGAGAAGAGAGAATAAAGCCACAGCTGGGAGCAGCCGCCCGCCGAGGGCGTGACACAGCAGCACCAGGTCCATTTTTATGAAGTATTTTTCATGCAACAGCATTGGGTTTAATTGTATTCATGAGAGGAAGTTGCCCATACTGACCCTCTGCCTCCATAGGAATTTCTCATACGGAGAGGGAAGATGGCTGGTACCATGAAAAGAGAGAACAAATTTGGGGGTTGGACTAGACGAGCTTTAAGGCCCCTTCCAACCCAAACCAGGATTCCAATTGCCTTGGCCGTTAGTCTAGACTGTCTTGCAGGATTTCACAGTTGCCACTCTTCAGGAGGTACTGTCCATCTCCTTGATCAGAACAACTGTTATTCCTCAAAAGAGGACATTTTCTGAAACCTAAATCATTAGAAAGGTTTTACAAGACCCTGCTGTCTTTTTTACAAGACTTTGCTGCACTTGTACACAAAATTATCGGTACTGAGAAGCTAAAGAGTTAAATCAAAATCAGAGCGATCCAACAGATTCTCATAAAGTCTTTAAAACCGAGGTAAGGGGAAGAGATGACTATGTCTTAAATAATTAAAAAGACATGGATTCTAAAATTGTTATTGAATGGATTCTTAGTAGTAAGTAATTTCTAAGCAGTCGATGAGTGCTGAGCTGGCAGTCCTACACTGCGCTGTGATAATCCTGGTTGCACGGAGGCACCAAGACTTTTAATTCCAGTTAGTTTTACATGGAGGGTGTCACCTCATGTGCGAAGGAGGACAGAAAAACACATTTGTATTCTTCTGCAAACCTACAAACATAGTTTCCACACTCATTTCGGCATCGGCATCATTGGTACAAGAGTCACTTCCAATGGAGGCCCCATCTCAGGATGGATCTCCGTATTCCGAAGGGCCTTGGTTTGCAATGGTAACGTTGCTGTAGGTAAGGACCCATGCTGGCCTTTGCTGCTCTCACAGCCACGCACCTTTCGTGTTCCTCGTCTTCCCTGTTCACCTTAGAGCATAGCCAGGGGGAGAGCTCAGCCGGGGCGATGCCGTCTCCGGAAACCCTGCTCCAGTCTGACAGATACTGCGAAAGGGAATTATCCCGAGCACAAATATTCGCCCAAACGGGCCATGAACACAGCGCAGGACACTTCGTTAGCAGCCGATAATGGAGGTAGGAAGTATTTTGTCAAACGGGCAGCGCAGGAGAACATGTCTGAGCGAAGGAAACTTTAGCCTCTTAAATAACAAAGTTCCAAAATTAAACCCTTGTTTATGTAACGACGGGGTCGCTGCTGCAGAACGCGGGAGTTTGCAGCATTGGACCAAAAAAGGCTCTACAAAACGCAGGCCTGCGTGCAGGGCACCAAGGCTCCTGCAGACACGGACTCTGCAGCGGGCTACCACTTGCCACGGGGGCTTTCTGCTCGCCTCTGCCTCTCCCAGGCCTTCCCCCCATTCCATGTCCCCACCTGATCCACCCGCTCCGTGCCATTTCCTGCAACGATGGGGTCGGGTCCCGTCCCCCGGCCGGGCTCTGCGCTCCGGGGAGCCCCGTGCAGCCCAGACGCTGTCGGGGTGCTGGTGCCCTTCACCATTGCCATTGCCATTGCTGCTGGTGCCATTCGCCTCTGCAGGGCCCCCGGTACCTGAAAGCAAAGGGCTGCTTTGAGACTTGGCCCTGAACCTCAGAGCCTCATCCTTGCTGCTCATTAAACCCCCATGGGGGGGATCGGGGGGGTGGGAAAGCGGGGCTGCTCCCGCTGGCTCCTAAGCCTGTTGAATTAAGTAAGTCCACCCTCGGTGCGTTTTCCAAACCTGCCCTTCCTTTGCACGGTGCTTTGACACTGAAATCAAATCGCAGGCCCTGAGTTGGATTTAGTGGAGTTAAACAGTGATGCAAAGTGCATTTTTTTTTTTTTTTCTTTTAGGAATAAGAAATGAGGAAGCCAAGCAGTCTGCAGTCCCTCCAGAAAA